ATTATTGTAGGCAGGTTTTGGGGGGCCGACATGATTTGTTCCATAATTTACCCCCCCCCCCCCCCCTCATTTTATTGCTGAACGCGCCCGCCTACATGATACACCAAAGGCAGTTAGTTTCGTTGTTTCTTGTGCTCGCTGCAGGGTGTTCGACGTAGTGAACGTCGTGTTGGTGGTGCGCGGGGGGAGTAGTGGCCAATGTGTTTTGACGTGTTTATTTAATGGGAATTGTTTCTTTTCCTCGGGACGGAGGTGGTATTCATTGTTGTTGTTGGTGTCTTCATGTTCAAAAAATATGATGTGATTCAGATTAATCCGCGAGCGACCTTACGCTTTGAAGAGTATCGCAGCTTTGTTAATTCGGGAAAAAAACTGTATCCGCGGTTTTTCCTGGCGTTTCTCTCTTCGATCGCTTCATTCAGCCGACGTTCATCATTAGTAGTTAGACCACGCGCCTTCTGACATTGAAACCGTTCCGGTCTCCTCTCACAGTACCTTCAATATCCGTACTGGTCGAACTGACGACGACGGGAGGATGAGATTTTCTATTTTTCACGGGAGACGGTTCGTTCGTCCAGTCCCTAGTAGTCTAATGCTAACCGAGCAAACGCCGCGCACCACTCATTATTTTGGTTTGCATTTTGGAAAATGAATGTGGTGTCTCTGGGAGAAGCAAAGTCTTGCGACAAAAATTAGTGGCATGAGTACTTTACAAGCTGACATCACACCTGATCCCTCATCATATCGTTGTAACAAGATACCGCAGAAGAAGACAAACACCCCACGACCCGTCCGTCCGTCCGTCCGTCCGCGGTCAACAAGTCAATCAATATTTGTTAGCTCTCTCAACTTCCATACGGCACGTGTTCTTATCGTGTGTTTTTTGTCCCGACAGGATGCCAGCTTGAGGGATGCCCTAATTTATCATCATCGAGAACTATTATACGTAATGTACAATAGAAGTAGTGCTTGCTTTATGGTTGAACTGCTGCCAGTCCACCACAGCAGGGAGGGCTGAGGGTGCAATACAAGTGAACAAAAAAAAGACGCACACCTCCCGCGGGGTTCCCAACCAGCGGGACCCGCATTTGCCCGCACAACTTGGCCCGCATCCATCACGGCTGTCGTCACCTCGTCACGTGTCACGCATACACGCACACACCCCGTGCCGTGTGTACAGCATCGCGGAGGGAGCGAAGGCCTAGAAGCACCTGCCTTGAATCTTGCCCTACTGCTGGACAGAAGCCGATTGCGGGGTGAGTGGGGGGCTAGCTTTTCTCCGCTAAGGTGGCATATTGTGATGTGACGATGTGACAATCCAAGCCACCCTGTTTTAGTCTCTTTCAAGTTTGAACCCCATGCCGACAGGTGGTAGGTGTGATTACTCAGGCTCTTTCTCGCAGCCTAGCTTGAGCGAAGAATCACCTTGCTGCTCATGGTTTTCTCGATACGGTTTGGCCGTTATCTCTCTCTCTCTCTGTGCGTCGAAGGATGCTGCTGAGGACAGCAGTAGACTGGTTGGTCCACGGCTGCAGAACATGGTGTTGAGGTGTTTGTTTTTGGACCCCGCGGCACTCCTGCGGAGAGATAACACTTGGTAGCGCTTGAGGTTGCTGTCTTTTGCCGCAGTCTCACCAATGCCAGTGGCTCGCAGGAGCAGCAAAGGTTGTGCGCTACCCAGCATCTATCTCCGCTTGTTCGCCCCTTGCCGGCTTACTCTGCTCTCTTGCAGACTTGGTCACGTTGTGCCTGCCCAACATCTTACATCTTACAAGAACAGTTTACAATGCTACTGCTGCAATACCTCTCCACCATTTGCATTTGCGTGCCGCACAGCAGCAAGTGGTAAGCCCTCCTGTTCTCTACAGTAGCACCCACAGACACACCTTACACCATCGTCTGAAAGTGCTGGCGTCTCACGCACCCGATGATTATTTTCGAAGCATTCCCAAAGAGGCTTGGCATCAAAATCAGATCAAAATAGATACCACATGTGATACAGGTGTTATGCTGAAGAAGCTACTGCTGCGGTAACGTGGACCAGATGGAAGGGTGGGTTTGCGGATTTTTGTCAGAAGCAGCATTGACAGCGCCGTTGACTCACATCGAGCACACCGCCGTGGGGTATCAACGTGGACGGAAATGCATACATCTGAACCAACAACACTGGAGAAGGTCTCTGGCCTCGTTTACTTGATTTTGTTGCCTTATGCTCGGACTTTATCGACTCTTCTTCCGTTACAGCATGCATAGATACAGCAGTACATAGGTAGAACAGAAGAAATCCTGCGGACGATGCGATCGATGAGGTAAAAATCACACCGCTCAGCAGGGGGCTCAGCTGACTGCCGTCCTGTCAGGCTGCTATCCTCGGGGGGCTGTTATGATGAAGTACTTTACGCAGGAATGGGTACAAACAAAGGTATTCTATGTAGGTCAGGCAGCAGGGTACAGCAGTTGTAGTATGAAGACCCCATAGCGAATTTACCATGGCTTGTTTTTTCGACGGACGGAGACACGGAGATAAGATTTGTTTCTGAAAAACATGGTTGGCGAATCGTACCTGTGCAAGTGCATGTACTGCTGTACATGCCCGTCAACGGTTAAGACAACGTGTGGAACACAGCCTGGACACGGAATTCCCGCGATACAAGTAGTAAGCAGCCTCTGCGGCACCCGGCCCTTGACAAGAGACAAATGCGGAGGAGCTGTGAAATGAAATCGAACGAACATCCTCGTCAGAGACAGTTCTGAAACCCCCGCAAGCCCCCAACCACGCTTGGGCAAAACAGCAGTACCACCCTACAGTATGGCGATACCAAGCAACTCGATACTTGGAAGTAGCAGTGTGCCTCGCAGGAGCAATACCATGGTGATAGATACATTGTGAAGAGTGTTTTTCTGGATGTGTTCCCCGCTGTTGAAGGCTGCCAAGCTAACGGCCCAGGCCCATCAGCGGCGAGTCCAAGTAAGGCCTCCACACTGATTGTTGGATGGGGGTGGGGCTCAATGGGCTCGGTCGAAGCTCGGTTTTGCGAGGTCCTTAAACATTGAGTCCTTTAAGCATTGAAAAGATGGTAAGTACAGACAGCCTCTTTTCTAGGTTTTGTACTGATACAACTTCTGGGCTTGCCTTCGATCGTGCCGGTATTTGCCCACCAAAGACGCTTGACTAATCAAGAGCGACCGGTACGAGTAGTGCCAATATCGGCGCTATTGAGGGTTGGACAGCCCGTTCTTCACTATAGTGCCGGTCCTCTCTAGCATTGCGGAAGATTTATTTTTGTCGTATAGCGCAGCTTAAGCCATGCCGGGACAACCACGTGATGAATGTTGTGCGGTTTAGCAGTGCCGTGGGCGGACGTTGGTGGGAGAAGCTAGGCCTGGGACTGACGGAGTACAACACGAATTTGCTGCATAGTCCATACATCCAACTTGGGATGGAGTCATCAGAAATGATGCCTCGCTAGTACGTGCACTGACTGCTGTGCAGGCTAAAGAGTGGCAAGAGACGGTGCGGATTACACGACAGGACAAACGGCAGGAAATCAACGAGCTTTGGTGTACCCCTCCCTCCCGGCCCGGTACCCCCCCCTTCCCACCCCGTCCCAACGAACTGCTGTAAGTCGCCAGAGCAGTTTCCCTCTCATGCGTTGCCTGAAGCGGCACGCGCGAGGTCTGGTGCTGATCTTGTACGCACAAGGTCACTCACGTCTGCGTCTTGCGGGTGTCGCCCAGGTGTACAGGACAAGCTACAGAAAGACACACG